CACAATGGGGTCCATGTTGCCTAGGATGATTACCATGCACAGCTGGATGGTGTTGACCCTGCACAGCTGGTGGCCCTCACCACCTGTGGAAGGATACAAACAGAGAATCACAGGGGTATCCAGGGCCCTCAGGAGGTCCCTGAGCCTGAGCCTGAGCCTGAGCCTGAGCCTGAGCCTGAGCCCAAGCCCTTTCCCACAGCAGGAGCAACCTCAACTTACCGCATCCCCCACAAGGCTTTGTGAAGGCGGGACTGAAAAACCTTCAGAGGGAGAGTCTGCTCCACCTTCTCTAGGGAACCCCATTCCAGTGGTTTACCACCCTCTTGGGACAATAGAATAAGAGTGTCAAACCTGCATAAGCACGGCCCTGACAGTCAATCTCCCTACGGTGAACTGGTTACCAATGGAGTGGTAGTGGTCGGGTGTGGCGAGCTTCCAAAGTGCAATGGAGACCTACTTCTGGAGGGGGATGGTGGGTCGCATGTGGGTGTCCCATCACTGGAGAGCAGGGGTGAGCCACTTGCACAGCTCCAGGAAGGTGTCCTTCTGCAGGTGGAAGTTCTGGAGCCACTACTGGTCATTCGACCATTCTGAGAGGATTTGGTCCTACCAGTTGGAACTGATGTCCCAGCACCAGAAGCGGCAGTGCACAGTGTGCAGGAGAGGGGGAAAGGGGTTGTACTGCATGAGCAGCACATGGAGAGAGGGGAGGAGGTGCCCCACGGGGGGCAGCAGGTCTTCTCCCTGCACAGCCACGTGGGCAGCCTTCAGTAACTGCACCAGAAGGTGCAGCATGAGGTCTAAGAGTTAGCAAGTGCTTTGAAGCACATCCAGCTCTATGGCAGAAGTGTTATGGTGTCTACAAAGACAACCAGAGCAGGCAAAGGTGAAGAGTCTGAGATACGGCTGTTGAGGGGAGCCCCTTTAAGCACCAACCTCAGATAGCCTCAGGCAGAAGCTCCAGGAAGTGACTGCTGTCCTGGTGCCCTGCCCGAAGTGCTTCTGGGGGGCTTTAAAAGCAATTCAGCCTCCAATCAGTATGGACGTGGGGCTTTAAAAGCAATTCAGCCTCCAATCAATGTGGATGCACTATTTCGGTATAGATCTGTGCTGTTTCAAAATAGCTATTTTGGAGTACTGATTCTGAAATAACTTATTTTGAAATAAGCGTGTAGGACAGATGTACCCTAAGAGACCAGTGAGAAACACCTTCCTGTTATAATTTTTTAGCCTCCTCTGTCAAGTGTCTCTCCTGAGTGACATCAAGATCCTCCTAAAGTGAGATGATGTTGGTTACAAGACAACCTGAGAGAAGTGGTTCTTCAATCTGGAAGCTAGCTTATTGCTTTACAGTGCTTCCATTTGAATTGGCGATGATCCAGGTTAATGCTTCTTGATCATTTTCTACTGTTAGGCATAAGTATTTTTTCCTGATACCACCACATTTGAAGGGTCAGAACTGTTTTATAATCACTTTGGCATTCACAAAACAAAATGGAATTTACAACATACAAAAATTCATCACAACCTGACCCTGCAAGATTTTATACATGTGAGTAATCCTTTATCATGGAACCAGTTTTACTAATCTCCTGGGGACCACTCAGATAAGTAAAGACTTTGTGTGAAAAAGAGGTTTCCAGGACCAAGAATGTAGTAGTAACAAAGTGGAGTACTATTAGTTATAAACTATTGACTTAAACACATAACTTTTAAGAGAAATGATGGGCGGTGGACTGCATTTCATTCTCTCTCACTTAACCACTGTCATAAATCCTCAATTTCAACTGGGACTTCTTGTTCCTAGTCAATAACGCCAAATGAAATACAGTAGCACAGAGTATTTGAACAAGCAATATAAATCTAAATAACTCATAAATTACTCCCCTTCAGTCTGTGGCAGAACATGATACAAAGGAAGACAGAATTTTCTTAAGAAAACAAGCACCCATAAATATTCTACCCTCCCCACCCTTAAGGACTGTATGCCATTTTTTGAAATAGTAAGGGGGATATCTGAAAATGGGGAAATGGCAAAATGCCTAAGTGGAGAAAAGTAAATAATTACAGCAAAAATAGTTTAGATAGAGTCTCTAAATCAGACAGCTTTTAAATTAAAATGTTTAAATCTATAAAAAGCCTAGGAACCGTAGAATACTAGAAGTGAAAGGGACTTCAAGAGGTCAACAAGTCCAGTCTCCTGCACCCATGGCAGGACCAAGCATGATGGGTTTAGAAGAATCTTGTTGATGTTGAGTATGCATAGGGGTTTTTTTGTGTCTTTTTAACTCATATTGTATTTGTGACATGAGTTTTGAGTAATCACATTTTGCAACCCCAAGAAAAGAAGGCAAACCTTAACCAGTGACTTTCTAGTTTCTACAGTCTAAGGTTTTGTTAAAAAGGAAAAGCCTTAAACACTTATGGTTACAAAGCAAACTTTCTGAACTTGAACTGAATAAAAACTTCAGAGGGGTAGCCAAGTTAGTCTGTAACAGGAAAAACTTAAAAAACAACGAATAATCTAGCAGCACTTTGAAGACTAACAAAACATGTAGTTGTGCCCACTAAAGTTCACGATACCATCTACATGTTTTGTTAGTCTTTAAGGTACTGCTAGATTATTCATTGTTTTCTAAGTTTTTCCTTAGTAAAAACTAACAGATACATACCTGTCTTTCAGAGTCTGAAAACAGGCAATAAGTTAAGGGATGCAAATTAGCTCAGTTCAATTCACGAGTGTTAACAGTGAAACTCAGGAATAATTTAATCAACAAGAGCCATATGCTTATGTAGTGGGTCTAGTGCAAAGAATATTGCCTTAAACATGAAGTAGGCAAGCTAAAGCATAATTAATTAGTTATCATATGTTAAAAATGATTTTAAATGAAACTTTTAACAATAAAGCTACACAATTAAAAAGTTAAACTTGCCTTTGATAGCAAGGGTGGAGAACTGGATGTGTGACAATGAAACTCTCAACACTGATGCAAAAATTACTAGTAATTAATAAAAATAAATAATAAAAATAACAACATAATCAAAGATAATATTGTTTGGATTATTGCTAACCCAATTTCCTCAAGTTTCAAGAGCTTCACAAAATTACACATTTTACACTTATTGATTGCTTAGCATACATGTACTTATTTATGGCAATTTTATTTAATAAAGTAAAATTCTAAAGCAGGTTGAGACACATTCTTGAGACTCATCCAGGCCTTTTATTTCAAAGTGGCACAAACAATTATATGTCAGCTAACACTCATAAGAAAATATGGACTGGTCATACAAAGATCCATAGCTATTACTTTGATTTTTGTATTCTCTTATACTGGATTATGAAGGAATATATTTAAAGTAGTTGTTGCTTATGTAAAAGTGTTGCCAAAAGTTGTATAGCTGCAAACTCAGATGTGATCAGTAATGATTCCCAAGATATTATGTTTAAAAGGCATAACAAACAAATATGTTCCTTCAGAAAATATGGCATTTATGAGATGCCCTTAAAAAACCCTAGGGCTGTGTCTAGACTACATGCCTCTGTTGTCAGAGGCATGTAGATTAGACACATAGGCAAAGTCAAATGAAGCCGCGATTTAAATGATCGCGGCTTCATTTAAATTTACATGGCTGCCGCGCTGAGCCGACAAACAGCTGATCAGCTGTTTGTCCGCTCAGCGCGCTAGTCTGGATGCTCCCCTGCCGACATCAAAGCCCTTTGTCGGCAGCCCCGTTATTCCTCGTGGGATGAGGTTTAAATGATCATTTAAACCGCGGTTTCATTTGACTTTGCCAAAACAACAAATCTACATGGCTCTCTCTCAACTAAGATACCATAAAACCAATCTTGCACCAATTAAAAACTTACCATTAAGACACAAATAAATTATCTGACCAAACTGACATAGACTTACAGACTTTAAGGCCAGAAGGGACCATCCTGAGTACCTAGCCTGATTTCCTGTACATTGAAGGCTTTCTCTCTCCTCCAGCCATCTCCTTAGCTCATTCATTCACCAGACAAGGGAATTCAGCTGGCCAAGGAAAGGGACAGAGAGGTCTCTAGTAGCAGCCAAGGAAGCAAAGTTCTCAAAACCTCACCAAACCTTCCAAGTAAGCCAGAGAAGACTGCTGAGAACAGACATGAATGCAGAAATGTGGACCATGTGAAGAGAAGAAAAACAATTAATACAGAATTTATAGCAGATGCCACCTCTTATTTTGTGTTTGTACAGTGCCTAATGCTGATCGCATCCACTGATCACTACCACTAAAATGAATAATAATCAGTAAAGTCCAAGTGGCTTAGTGACTCTAATCTGCTATATGGAAATGCTGAATTTGTGTGTCAGGTCCTGAAAGCTGATCCAAGACAGATTAATGAGCCACAGGGGATTTAGAGCTAAAAGTAGGTGACACAATGGTTCTTCACTTTAGAGAGAAGACAACTAATACAATTTTGCAGAACATTTTGAGATGTTTAGACCAAAGCTGGCAACAGACTTTGTGGAGCTGCAACACAAGCCCTCAGGAGGGGCAAAGAGCATGGTGGGGAAGGGGGAATTAAAGGGGGCAGAAGGGCCATGCCAAGGGTCAAGGATGAGTATGGTGGGGGCTGGGGCAGGAGCAGGTGCTGAGGAGGCAGTGAGTGGAGGGAGGGACGGGGGGGTGCTTAAGACAATGACATGGTGGGGGGGAAGGGAGGTGCAGAGGGGGGTGCCCGGGGCAATGCCCATGGTGGGGGAGGGAAGGCCAGTGGGAGTGCCCGGGGCAATGAACACGGTGTGGGGGGAGGGGAGTGAAGACGGGGCAGAGGGGCGCGCAGGCGATAGGAGGCCACGGCCCACGAGGCGGGGCAGAATCAGCAGCGAGAGGCGCCCGCTGGGCTCAGGGTCCCGCAGCTGCAGCGCAAGACAGACCCCCCGCCAGCCGGAGCCGGGCCGCTCTCCTCCAATCAGCGCGCAGCAAGGGCCGGGGGGCGGGGCTGCCGGCGACAGAGAGCGGCTGACAGCGGAGGGGGCGCGGGAGCCCCTCGCTCACCGCGGGCTGCAGCCACCGAAGCGGCTCGAGCCCTGGCACCTGCGCAGGGAGGGGGGCGCTGGCTCCGGACACGCGGGGTCCACGCTGCGGAGCCTTCCCGGGCGCTCTCGCCATGCACCTGGACTCGGCTCGGGGGCCGGCGTCTCGCTGACGGGGGGCAGGTAAGTCACCCGGCTCCGTGCCTGGGGCGATCTCCTCCTGCGGCGCGTGTCTCGCTAGCTTTGCTTCTAGCCCCATTGCCCGCCCGGCGCGATGGGACTGAAAGCGGCACCGACGGCGGCGAAAACCTGCCCCCCACCCTTCTGAGCCTCAGGTATGGTCCCCTGGGAGGGCCTTAGGGCACTTGTCTTGGCAAGTTTCTCTTTGGTCACTTCAGGCACCACTGGACGTAGCAGCTGTTTTAAAAGGAAAATTATGTAATGAACATTGAAAGGGCTGAGACTCACTTATTAACTATTTAGAAAATGCTGTGAAAAGGCCGCTCTGCAACCAAATTTTGCTTCCCTTATTCAGCTGGCCAGGTTTATGGAAATGAGGAACTAGATTTGACCTATTGATTCTCCAAACTCCCACAGTCCCTTGGCTATGGGTCTAAAGCGTTGCTGAGTACATTGTGGATTTGCTCTCAGACCTGAAGGTACTTAGCATTTCCCAGGTTTAGGGCACAGATTTTTCAACAAAAGAAATTTGACAGTTCAATATAAACTTGTCTGTAGTTAGGACTGTTACCAAATGCAGCTCAGTTTAGGGAACCAACAAACTGTTGGTTCTAGACTTAAGTACCAAACTGGTAGATGATTATAGACATTCCTGGTGAACAACTATATCTGAGAAACTCTGTGCCCATCTTTGCCCTCAGGAGAAGCAGATTATGGGAGGGGAGATTAGAAAGGACAGGATTAAACTTGAGTGGCATCTGTCATGCTTCTACATCATGATTTTAAAACTAGTATGAATTCTTTGAAATGTGTTAATTTTGTTTGTAGTAATTATTTGGCAAAAGAGGAGCTGATGTGTTCTTTGGCAAGAAGTTTACAAGCATATTTATGAATGTTGCAAATAATGAAAATCATATATTTGTAACAATAGTTACATTGGGGTGTCAGGTTTATTATTGTTACTACTATTACACCTGTAAAGCCTGTATAACCTGCCTCTTGCTTCTCAATGAAAGTAAGAAACTGTGCAAGATTTTTTTAAATGATAAATATTCCAAGCTATTGCATAGATCTGAAAAGTGAGGAAAACTGTACAGTTTTTGTAGCAAACCTCTCTCATAGTTGTACTAGTATCCAGATTTCAGATACCAGATTCGTATCTCACAACATGACTGCTTGTGGTTTTTTTGTTTTGTTTATAGAGTTGCATTTGTTCATGCTTGCTGTGAGGGATGTTGTTTTAGGATTAGCACGCAGGATGAAAGTAAAAGGCAGAGCTAAACCCTGCTTGCTGGAGTTTCTCTTCAGTGTCTGCCTGGCTACTCTTCCCAGCAGTAGTGCCTGCCCCCAGCGCTGTGCCTGCTACGTTCCCACTGAAGTACACTGTACATTCCGGTACCTCAAAGCCATCCCACCGCACATCCCCCAAAACGTGGAGCGCATCAATTTAGGGTATGTTTAACATCTGCATTTTGTTAATGCTGTGCAGTTCACTTCCATTGCCTTGCAAAATGTTATTAGAGTTTTTGGATTTGGGTTAAAATTGATTTTAAACCTCCAAACATCTTTAAAAACTACTATTTTGCAGTATTTAGAATTCGTTACGGTGACAGCTGGTAAAAATGTTCTCCTAGACTGATTGAGAATTCAAAGTATCAGACACTATCAAGCCAGTTAAATAAATTAAGAATGATAACTTATAAAAACAAATTGAAAGCAAAATGTATTCAGTTTGAAGCATAATTTACACAAGAATAGACACCACAAAACAACACAAAAACAAAGCTAGAAACCCTATGTACAGTAGTCTTGTCCTCAAAGAGGTAATTTTATAAAAAGCTGCAGTTTTCTGACTTCTATCACTTTCACCCACTTTCCCTTTTCCATAACTATCAGTTTTCCACTATCAGGGACTTGAGTTTTCCACTACTTTTATGCTACCACCTTAAAGCACTTTGGAGTATGAGATTCAGTTTTTATACTTATCTGAAATTACTGAGTCTATAAAATTAAATTAAGGGCCTGTCTATACTGGCAAGTTACTGTGGTGTAACTTTCTCACTTAGGGGTGTGAAAAAAACCTCCCCCACAGTGAATATAGCAATTTACGGTGCTGTAAAGCACCAGTGTAAAAATTCTACCAGTGCTGTTAACTACTTCCCTTGTGAAGGGAAGCGCTTGAAGCCTGAGGCCCGGCACTCGTGGAGAATGGGTACGCAGGTAGGTGGCCCTTTGCTCCAGTCTCCCCAGCCCCAGAGCAGAGGGTGGGAGCTCAGATAGCTTCCCTCATCTCCAGAGGCTGCACTGAATTGGGGATGGGCCTGGAGGTAGTGTGTGGGTGAGGCCAGACAGACAGTTTGACAAGGCATTGCCTCTTATACCTGCTGCCCATGCATATCACAATATCCCTGATCATAACCAAAACTGAAAAGCCGTCAATATGGTGAAATTATTTGAGAACATGCCTTACAACGATAGACTCAATCTATTTAGCTTAACAAACAGCAGGTTAGGGAGTGACTTCATCACAGTCCATAAGTACAAGTTGGACCTTCCTGGTCCCGCACGCTCGGGACCTGACCAGTCCCTGATGAGGGATTTTGCCAGACTATGAGAGGTCATTTCTGGCCCCCCCGCCACTGGCCCCACTGCCCTGATGGCCCCTCCAGGCAGCCCATTTGGGGTGCACCAGACTTCAAGGCCCTGCTAGCTGCTCACTGCCGGCAGCCCACTGCCCTGCTGGCCCACAGAGCTCCCAGCAGCCAGCTCTCCACCAGGACTCTCTGGTCTTGGTCAAACCAAAGATGTTGCCAGACCAGAGAGTCCTGGTTTAGGATGGGTCATCCTGTACCTCCACAGCGAGCAGAAATTTGTTAATGGGCTCTTCACTCTACCAGACAATGATACAACAAGATCAAATGGTTGGAAGTTGAAGCTAGACAAAGTGAAGCTAGAAAAAGTAAAAAAGGAAATACGGCACACTTTTAAACGATGAGAGTAATTAACTAATGAAACCATTTACCAGTTGTTGTGATGGATTCTTTATGACTGGCTATTTTTAAATCAAATCAAGATTGGATTTTTTTTAAATGCTATTCTACTTTGAATAGGAATTATTTTTGGGAAGTTCTACAGCCTGTATTAGATAAAATTATCACAATCATCTCTTCTGGCCTTTGAATCTATTCATCTACTCTTTAGTTAATGCAACAGAAAGCAGTAACTGAACTGGCATGAAGTTATGACTTGTTATGACTTCATCTACTGTTAAAGCACTTTGATGGGACAACTTGGGGAACCTTTTATTTGTAGAAAAAGACCCCAGCGATCTTACCTTTCACCTGCCATGAATAATTTAAAAAATAATTTAAAGTTCAGTACATTATTGTAGACATCTACTGGCACTGAAGCTCTCTTTCTCCTACACAAGAGTTCAAAATGTCAACCTTTTTCTCATGTTCTTGTAACCATCTACTGCAGACATCACCACTACCTACTTGAATACAGTCCATATGAATCACTTTGTGCCAGACTAGCAAAATCTTTGATTTTTACTTGCTAAGAATTTGCCTTTTCAAATCAGTAATAAAATCTACTTGTTGTGCATTTGCAAAAGAAAGTTTTCTTTTGTTTTTTTTACTTTTGAACTTTAGCTGACTGACTAAACCCAGATCTGGAATGAAATGTTTGTTACAGTTACAACAGCTTGGTTAAACTGACCGAAACAGATTTTTCTGGCCTGGAGAAATTGGAGTTGTTGATGTTGCACAGCAATGAGATCCATACAATCCCTAACAAGACATTCACAGGTTTAAAAGCATTACAGGTAAGAACCGAAACTGGAAGATGGCCCTGTCTTAGTTTTGCTACAGAGATACAACAAAAGGTACAAATCAATAGGAACAGACTCATAATCCATCTAGTCTGGAGACCTGTTTCTAATGGTAATTCAGAAAAATATTTCAGAGGAAATCATGTTCTTCCCCTTCCCAGTGGATGTAATTTTGCAATACGGTACCCACAGGGGAAATTTCTCTGTCCCAGATAGGGATTCAGATACCAGAACAAGCAAAAAGGAAGAGCTTTGCCACAGAGCTCCTTGTATTACATCTTTGGTAGAAAAGTTCTCTACCAAAAAATGTTCTCTTGTTAATTTGATGGACTAAATAATTTTTAAATAAATTTTAAATCATTATTCCATCAAATTTTTCTTTCACCTGCCAGCATGCTCTAGTTTTGCGGCTTTCTCTCACTTCAGCCAAGAAAGTTTTCTACTGAAATAAAATGCTACATTCTAATAGTAATGGCCATAGCAGTTCCTTGGTGTTATAACAGTATATAAAAGACAGGTGTACAGAATTTGGTGCTTTAATATTTTATTTTAAGTAAGAAATAATCAACATACGACAATAGATATTTTAAATTTGCACATCCCATCATTTACACACAGACCCAAGCCAGTCTTTGCAGAGATTTTCTAGAATATTTTTAAAGGAAGGTCATATTTTTATTATGTGTATTACATGTTCAGAGGCAGTCCTGCCATTGGAGCTGCTAGTGAATTGCAATATTCAGAAATATTAGAAAATTGAACAAAATTAAATACTCCTCTCCAGACCAACACTGCGTGCAACTCACACATTAATTTGAAATTATAGACTATTAATTTAAAATCAGAGAATCTCAGATGAGAAGCCATGTAGGATGACTGCTACAACGTCTCTGGCTTTATTAGTGCATATTTCACTAGGGATGGCTCTCTCAGATTTCAGAGCATTTTGCATTTCATTGAACAGCCTTGGAGGATACACTAGAGCTCTGAGGGTTTGTGCACGTTTGTTTTTTCAGGAGTTCTTTAGCAGTTAGAGTAAGGGCTTGTCTACATATGGAGTTAGGAACTGTTATTTTTTAATAACTCCATGTGTGGGTACTTCTATTCCAGAAACCAAATTACTCTTGCGTTTAACCGGTTAACCAATTAAGTGGGGTGCAGTGGGGTTGGCTTCTGCTGCTGGCCCCTGCACTTGGGGCTTCTGCTGTCCTAAGGTTGCAGTCCTAAGCACAGGGAGCTGGCTTCTGCTCCCCGCCTCCCTGCACAGGACACCGGCTCCTGATTCCCACGGGGCTGGTGCAGCCCTCTGCCTGCGTCAGGCCACCAGCAGGGGGCTGCTCCCAGGTACCAGTTAATTTATACTGGTAAACATCATCTATCGAGGTTAACTAGTTCAGACCCCTAACTTTTACCTAACAGAGTAATAATAATGCAAAGTTGACTACAGAGTATTTAACAATACTGAAATAATATAGTTTATTAGATTTTTTAATCACTTTTTTCCCCACCAACAGGTTTTAAAAATGAGCTATAATAAAGTCAGAATACTTCAGAAGGACACTTTCCATGGCCTCAAGAGCTTGGTACGGTTGCATATGGACCACAATCAAATTGAATTTGTGCACCCAGAAGTTTTCTATCTTCTTACATCCCTCAGGCTGGTACACCTGGAAGGAAATTTACTTAAACAGCTTCATCCAGACACTTTTGTCACCTTGCGCTATATCCAGATATTTAAAACATCCTCCATAAAGCATATATACCTGTCTGACAACTTCTTAACTTCATTACCACAAGAAATGTTTTCCTACCTCCCTGAACTAGAGAGTATATACCTTCATGGAAACCCCTGGTCCTGTGATTGTAATCTACAATGGTTCGTAGACTGGGCAGAACAATGGCCAGGTACAGTCTGAGCTGAAAATTTTCTATTTTCTTATACCTTTTTATTAGATTGGTGACTTTCCTTAAACTCTTTACATCATTGTCTATTGGTTATAGGTACAGGGTGAGCCTAAAGATCAGGATTCTATCTCTGTCATTGATTCATGTGTCACCATAACTTCTGTAACTCACCATTAAAATGGAGAAAATAACTGCCAATTTTGAAAATGCTTTGAGATTCTTTGTTGAACTGCACTATTTAAGTGCAAAGTATTATGATTACCAATGAGTAAGGGATGGATAGAAGCATCTTTAGAATAGTCTCTTTTTTAGGGGGCAAATTGGTAATTAAATGACTATGAAAACTAAGAGACTGATCATTACTAGTCTAACACTTTATTCTGTGACTTTCTGTTGATCTTCTGTGACTTCCTTGTCAGCGACTTAAAAGGTATTTCTTGCCACTCCATGGGGCCATGGTATTTTATTCTCTTAAGCAACAATGAATTATTTATTTCCGTTATTGTTGATGAGCAAGGGGTATTCACATGCACATTCATGCAAACAGGGAATATCTGAATGATAAGTGGTCTAGATGAATTGTCGTTAGTGGTCCCAATGTATTTCTAAGTTCAGCTGTTTCTAAATAGAGCCAATTTGGCAGTGCCAAAGACTGAATGTTCAAGAATGATTTATCCTACAATATTGAATTGTGTAATTGTCAGTGTATTTTACAATGTGATTATCAGAGCAAATAATTTTGCTGGTTTTTATATTTTTAGAGCATATTATTATTTGTAATTTTAGGCTCAGGAATAATAATTATTATTTACAAAAATTAGCAGCTTTCTTCAGACACACTTTGAGATAAAGCATAGCCAGATGATATTACCACACTACCACAACAGGATTGTCTTGTGGCTAAAGGAGAAGAAAGGCAACCTTGGATATGTCCCTTTGTTTTTCTAGGGCTTGCTGTTATTAAAATAAGGAAAGTAATAATTACCTCACAATGGTTAGCCTCAATTAATTAGGGCTATATTGTGTCTGACCAGAGGGAAAGCACACAAGTGAAGAAGAGGGATCAAGGAGTGTCTTCTTTTTGTTCCCCAAACAGGATCTGGGTACAATACAACAATGCCTCCTACAGCTCTTGCTAGATCTACATGCTTCCCAAGGCAATGCTGTGGCATGCTAATTAGCTGTGATAGCAATGCTGATCATGATGAAAGTTTCACTAATGGAATAGGAAACAGTTAAAATTAAGCTTGGTGATCATTAAAAAAAAATCACTATTGTCAGTATTTTTTAACCCTTTATTCAAGGAAAGATCTTTCAGCAAAATACAAGTCATTCTTATAGTATTAGAACTAGTATCACAAAAACTTACATTATTTTTTCCTCCCCCTAGATATTATAAAGTGCAAGAAAGACAGAAGTTCTTCAAGTGCCCAGCAATGTCCAGTTTGTGCCAATCCAAGACATTCTAAAGGCAAACATTTAGTTAACATCTCATCTGCAGCTTTAGCCTGTAGTAGGCCAATCATAGACCCCTCCCTGAAATTGAAAAACATCACTGTGCCAGATGAAGGGAACTTCATTTCCATCTCTCCTGAAGATTTTATAGCTCCTATTGGAACCATAATGTTGAATATAACAGACCAAACAGGAAATCAAGCTGACTTAGTTTGCAATGTTCAAAAACCCACAAAAATGTCCCCAATCTCCTTTGATAAAGATGGTTATAATACAGTCCTCAAAGTATCATTTTCAACATTTCTGGTGTGTAGTATTAATTATGAATACATTCAACAGCTATGGAGCATATTGGCCCTATACAGTGACTCTCCCCTGAAACTTGAAAGGAATCTCTTACTGACCAAAGTGCCTTACACCAGTTACAAGTATAAACAGATGTACTCTGAAAATGAAGATGTTTTTACCAATGTAGAGAGTGAAGTGAGAGCTGAACCTTCTTGGCTGCTCCAAGATCAGGTGGCATTAAAATTAGACAGAATGGCAACCACACTCAGCACACTACATATTCAATATGTAACTGATGCTCAAATTGTCTTGCCCCGTGGTGATGAAAAACAGTTGAGACACAGCTGGGCCCTAATTTCAAGAGATAATAAAACAAGAACAGAACACTCCATTTTAGTGGGTAGAACCATGGAACTGGACTGCCAGGCATTGGGAGAGCCTTCTCCTACCATTGAATGGATACTAGCCGATGGGAGCAAAGTTAGAGCGCCATATATTAGCGAAGATGGGAGAATTCTAATTGCTAAAAGTGGAAAATTCACACTACAGACAGCTGATAGTTTTGACACTGGGGTTTATCACTGCATAGCTACAAATTATAACAGTGCAGATGTCCTAACATTTAGGATCACAGTGATTGATCCTTCTGTGGAACATGACCACATTAATGGGGCTCAGCTCTTGGCATTCATTGGTGACACACTCTACCTTCCCTGTCAGTCTGTTGGAGTTCCAGATGCATCTGTTAGTTGGATCCTACCTGACCACACAGTTCTTCATCATTCTGTACAAAACAAATATATTTTCCACAACAGTACACTAAAAATACAAGAGATGACAGAACGAGATAGTGGCTATTTTAGATGTGTAGCAGCCAATCAATATGGTATTGATTTTTTGATTTTCCAAGTACTGGGTAAAGTGAATGAGGCTGCTTCACAAGAACAAATGACAGCCCCAGAAGAAAATGAAGAGAGAGATGGATCTGGTCATGAGGCTCTTCAAGCTGTTACAAAGCGTAAGTATCCATTAGCTATTGTGCAGACTTCAGTAACAGTTAAAGCACCTACTGATTCTGCATCTAGAAATCAACCAATATGGAATAACTACAGAGAGATGACTTACAGACACAATGGAGACAAAATAAACAGACGGTTTAGGGGACACAGAAGAAAATTTACTTCCACAGCTAGGAGAATTGACCCACAGCACTGGGCAGCATTTTTGGAAAAAACAAAGAAGAATTCCACTTTGCCAGAAAAGCAAGAAAACGCTGCAATAAAATCACCTACACCACCAGACCATCTGTCCTCTAAGATGTTTGGGAATAAGGAAGAAACATCTGGTGACCATATACCCCCAGAAGAGGAATTTATGACACTACCATCTGAAACACCTACTATACCTACTTTGAAAAAAGTTTCAGCAATTGTTGTGACTGGAGAGCCTGATGCTACATCAAGAAATACCAAGTCTAAAACAGCTTCTGTCATAGTTACTGAGGCAGTAGCTACAACAGTTAGTCCCTGGATTATGCAGTCTATAAGATCCAAGACCAAACCTGCAATCACAAGACCAAACTCACTAGAAACTTCTGAATTAAATCAAACATCATTAACTATTATACAGCCATTAACATCATCTAGTTTAGTGAACAGTACAGCAAAAGACTTTAATGCTGAACACAGATTGGTATCTTTTGGGCAAAGTAATCAGTATTTACAAGTCAGATCTACAACACCAACAATCACCAACCTTGTAACCTCCCAGAACACAGTTGAAAAACCCAATTTATTTACTGATTCTATTTATAAGACTTCAACTAAATCAAATAATCAGTTTTCTATGGTGACAGCCAGTGAGCCAAACAATGAATTTGGTCACCTTTATTTTCACAGTACTCAAAAAGTAACAACTCCTAAATTACAACCATGGTCAACTAATATTACTCATCAACAGATTCAGATAATTAGAGATGCCACAACTAATACACCACAGTCAAGACAAAGATTTGGAAGACGAAGGAAAATTTCTGGTAGGAGACGAATTGTTAGACCAGATCGAATTCCAGTTATCAGAGGTCATAGGTATAATTTTGTGAGACAAGAATCCAATAGAGAAAGTACAACTCTGCTTTCAGCTATAGAGCTATACACAAAATGTCTATCATGTTTTCATCTCACAACACCTTCCCAAAGTTCTCTTGATCTGCTTAGCCCCAAAACACATATAGCCCCATCTTTGAAAGCAGTTATACCAGAACTCACATCCCAGCAGCCTACAAGTCAAACCACAGCATTCCTGGATGAAGAGAAAAACAGACCCACTGCAGAAGGAGAAAAAAGAATTCCCACAGTCGTGCCTTTCTATCATGAAAACACACAGGGTACCCTGCAAAGAGAACAAGAGGCCAATGCACCATTGCAAACATACACTGACAGAATCCTATCTTTTAGTGTCGGACTCCCTGCAACCGCAAAACAGACCCCTAATGTATCTATGGAAATTACAACTTCTTCAGATAGCAAGACACCCTCAGATGTTAAATCTGTTTCCCCAACCACTGAAACTTCTTCCAGAAATTTAAGAGGAAAAAATCCTTGGCACCATCTCTTTGGAAAGACACACATTCAAAAGAAGAAGTTACCCAGAAGACAAACAAGTACAGTGCCACCAACAGCAATACCCATCATGCTTCCTAAAACTACTGCCACACTATCCAAGGATAGAGTTTCTCCTTTACATTTAACAACTATATCAGTGAAAGTGAATCAAGCTGCTGACCTCTTATCCCTAGCTAAGCCTATCAATCATGACAACAGTATGTCAGAGAAATTTACTCCCAGCCTCTCTTTTACGACTACAAAACTGCCATCTCCAGCCTATTTTTCTAAACAAGTAACTGTTATAAACAAAGAAATGAATGCAACAAAAACAGTACCATCATTTAGATATGTTACTCACACTGAAACTAAAATGACTAAAATCAAAGCATTCAGACCTGGAAGGAAGAGAGAGCAAAGAAGGAAAAAGCCGCAGAAGATTATGACTTCACAAAGCACTACTACTACAAGCAGTAGCACCACCACTGCTATGTCAGCAAATACAGGCTTGTACATCATGACAACTGCTAAGTCTTTAACTAAGCCCACCATCCCCATGCCCACTGAATCTCTTTATGAGAGCACAAGTTCAATCCCAATTGCAACTGTGCCTCAGCCGCAGATTCTTAGCACAAAAGATGTATCTAAAGGTTCACCTGCAACAGCAACACAAACACCACCACAAGCATTAACAAGAATTACAACAGTTGAGAACGCTCAACATGTTGAGCTACCATCTGATGTTCTCATAACAGAAAAACTGGCCATTGCAATCCCAGCTGTGCCACCTTATTTGAAGCCTTTCAAAACCACAACAATATTACCTGCCCCATCCTTTGTAACATCTGAATCAGTGTCTGTTCAACCAACGAAAACTATCACCATGGTAAGTGAAAAACCACATCAGAAAGTGGGACAGAAAGTTATTCAGCAGAAATACACAGCAAAGGCAACATTTCCTGACAGAGCTGAGCTCAGGACCAAATCTCCTGCTGTAACTACCTATGTGATCAAACCCAGCATACATCATTCTACTCCATTAGCATCTCAAACAACAGAGACACCCCGCACAAGTACCTTGCAAATGACCTTATCTCCCCTGTGGGAAAACAAGTTTTGGCATAAACTATCTCCTGAAGTTTCAGAAATAGGCAAAACATTAACAGCAAATACTCTGACTATATTAAAATCACCACAGAGCTCCTCTCCGTCTACTCCTGCATGGGGAAAGGACAAGGACAATTCTGTCAAAAGCTGGTCAGACAAGACTGCAGATCAAGAAAAGAACAATAATCGCATAGCCCTGGACTCCTTATATAGAAATAGATTGGAAAAGCCTAGAATAGTTGGAGGAAAACTGGCTGCTTTTACCGTCTTGGCTAATTCAGATGCCTTCATCCCTTGTGAAGCAACTGGTAATCCCCTTCCCACGATTCACTGGACTAAAGTGTCATCAGGTAAGTTTTTTATAAGCCTTCTTTAAAATGTTATCCTCTAGTATAGATTAGAAATAAGACAGATGCCAGGTGCACCATGCTGGGATAGTGCCATGCTTTAGGTGGGACACCAGGCATAAAGCAAAAAGATGAATAGTACATTTGGCTGACATGTAATAATAGCCCAGCACTGCACAGAGTAAGACGCTTCAGGATACATTTACAAAATGACCCTTCAAGAAAAAAAGAGAAAAGGAAAAAAGGTCAATCTGTATTTAACAATGTTTAACTATGTTTAGCATCTGTGGACAATCACATAATTGTAGTGATGCTTATAAAGACCATGCTTATTATTAAGAATCCACCTGTAATAAAATATTGTGCTTCACTGATGAGCAATTCTGCTTCCCCTTTATTGGAGTGTCCCATCCAGTGTGTAATTGATGCTTGTTGGTCCCTTAAGACATCCTTCACAATATACATAAACACATGCACTACTATTCCTTTCATTCCTGTTGCTATTTGTTACCCCTTTTAAGGAAAGCAGGCTAGGACAAAGAAAGTGTGCTCAGATACCACTGTGATGAGTGCAGACTACAAGCCCAGGCACCTGGATGGATGTGGGTTTTTGCTTGCAAATATTATTGTATTAAATAAAAATCAAAGTAATAATGGTTTTGTATGAATAATAATCAATTCTGTTTTTGTTAAATTAGGGATTGATGTGTCAAAAAGCAAGCGTGACAACAGGTTTGAAGTATTTGCTAATGGAACCCTCTCCATCCAGAATGTGAACATTCAGGACCGCGGACAGTACCTGTGTATTGCAGCCAACCAGCATGGCTCAGATCGGCTCCTGGTCACTTTGTCTGTGGTGGCATATCCCCCGAGGATCCTAGAGGGCAGGTCAAAAGTGATCACCATTCATTCTGGAAAGCCTGTGGCTGTGAAGTGTAGAGCTGAAGGTAGGCCCAACCCTACTATTTCATGGATTCTAGCAAACAAAACACATGTCTCAGAATCTTCTCCAGGAAGCAAGCAAGCATCTGTGCAACCAGATGGCACTTTAATAATCAAGGCAGCTACTGTTTACGACCGAGGACTTTACACGTGCATGGCTAGTAATCCAGCTGGTGCCGATACGCTGACAGTAAAACTACAGGTGATTGTGGCACCTCCCATTATTTTGGAAGAGAAGAGACAACACATTGCTGGAATTATGGGTGAAAGTTTGAAACTCCCCTGCACAGCAAAAGGAAACCCTCATCCCAGTGTTCACTGGGTCCTCTTTGATGGAACAGTAGTGAAGCCTTTGCATTTTGTAAATGCCAAGCTGTTCCTGTTTTCCAATGGAACCCTCTACATAAGAAACATAGCTCCTTCGGACAGTGGTAATTATGAATGCATAGCTACCAGCTCCACTGGGTCAGAGAGAAGGGTGGTAAATCTCACAGTGGAGCAGAGAGATACAATTCCCAGAATAGCAACTACATCTCTGAAAATGACTCAGTTGAATTTTGGGGACAGGTTGCTTCTGAACTGTTCAGCTACTGGGGAGCCAAAGCCAAGAATAATCTGGAGGTTGCCTTCCAAAGCAGTTGTTGACCAATGGCACAGGTAGGAACATGTCTTTGTGACTGAGCTCTTGTTTTGCATTTCTGCTGGTTTAACACTGCAGACCACAAATCATTGAAAGAATTCTTACTCAAGGTCTTGCCAAACAAATACTTAACGTAATATAACTGCTTAACTGATGCCAAACTTGTTTTTAACGTGACAAAAATAAGTCATCTCTGGTGACAGAAAATGTAATTTTATTAGTGTATTTCTAATACTAATGGCCCAAATTCAGCCCAGGCATAAGGGGGTGCAGCCTAACTAAATCAGTGAAATTGCAATTTATTCAAGCAGTAGCTGAAATTAGATCATTTCATTCTGTTCTGATTTAAAGCCAAATCACCAACATATGCATGTCAGTTGAATGAGATTCAGATGTTAATATAAAATTGACACTACACAAGATATATATGTTGGACTAAGCTAAGCTTGAGGATTTTACTTTGCTAAAGCTTTTATATGCCATATGTACTGCAGAAGAGATTTAACATAAATCAATTAGATTAATGGCATCTCATGTCACAATGGCTGCAGAAAAACGCAATAAACTTACTATAAATCTGGTGTACATGACAATAGTAATTTTGCTTTGTAAGATTGCTTATTGAAATAAAACATTTTAGCAATGACAATGATAGTTTGTGAATGTAGTGCCAAGCAGTGATTGCTCAAATTGACACAGATGGATAGCAGATAAATATTTAACTAGTAACAACTATCACTTTATTTTTATAAAAATAAAGAGCTTATTCATCAAGAAATCATGTAAAACAGTTTCTGCACAATAAAATCTAAATTTCATGGAGCACAAGTTGAGAAAGTTTAACAGTTACAAAATAAGTTTTCGTTGTAAAATTCCAAAGTTGCTAAAAATATGAAAAATATGAACACAGTTACTAGTTTATCTGCAAACAGGATCTAGTGAATATATTTTATTCTGAATATAGTGGGAACACTTACAAAACCATCAATTATAAAACCAGGGTTTTGATAACTCCGGCAACCTCTGACAGGTGCTTTAACTTCTGTATTTTATGGTTGAGTTGCCATGTCTTATATCCTAACCTGTTAGGGAATGAAAGCAACTAAGAGTGATTAGCACAGTTTGTTTTGACTATGTGCATACACCTCTTTCTAGCCATTTGCCTGATGAGAGATGGGCATTACTAAAGTATTCATTTTTTAACTTATACATTGAAAATATCCCTACAGAAAAAAATCTATAAAACTTCATTTACTGTATTAAAAGCAAAATCCCGTGAGTTTATAGTCCAATTACTGAAAGCTGGGAATAAATTTATTACACAGCCATGATACTGGCTAATTTGGCTTCACATTTTATATTGCAGGGTAAACATTAATGTTAGTATTATTGTTTCAAATGGTAAATAGCAGTTTAAAAGGCCCAATTCAATAATGACAGTTTACTTTTATTAAAAAAAAACCCAAATAAATCTGCTGATGCTGAGTTGATTTCAGTAAGTTTGCAGTTTATTGCAATGGCTACTAAGTTCACACACACAACATACTTGCTGTGAGTACTCATTTTATTATTACTTATTTTAATGGCCAGATTTGGCATTCCGCTGCTAGTGGAGAAGAACATGGTGGATGAGCTTTAGGTATAGCCTGTACTACGGGTGCATGGAAGAAACAAAGGGATGTGCTCAGGTTAAGCGTAGATGGAACCTTGCATTTAATTATTATTTCTGAAAATCAGTAGACAAGGAGCAATTCCAGCAAGTATAAGTTACTGCTAGTCTCCAAGTGCCATTACTTGCTTGCAGTGCAAGAGAGCCTTGGCTTTCTATCTATATTCTGCATGCCAGAAAAGCTGTAGTATCTTCTCCTTTTATAGGCTGCTAGAAATTAAGATTCTTTTTTATTAAAGCCAGCCACTAAAGAGGAGCGAGAAACTCTGCTTCTCCTGTTTTCTGGGCTCTAGTTATTGGACAAAGGACATGGGGGTGTTCATCTTACAACTCCAGACTGAACCTTACTTCCCAACAAAAAGTTCAAGTTGATTACATTTCTCATTATATGAACAACTTCTATAATTCTAAAACCAATAATTTTAGAATTCCTCCCAAAGAGAGGCTGGTTGAGATCCAAAAGGTTGGCTGAGGAAAGGCTAAGTCTACTGAAGATGTCAAATAATTGCAATAATTGCATTTCCATAGTTTTCAGTTATATTGTAAAATTGAAAAAGTCATTTGATGCGGTAGAGCTTAGGCACTTGACAGAAATAGTACTTTGGTATTACAGAGTGCCTAGGTTCTGTGACCATGGAACAGCTAACCCCAGTTTCAGATGAACTGTGGTCCTCAAATTTTGGTGTGTAGCACGTTTATAATTTAGCCTAATTTTTTCTTTAGAGCAGAAGAGGTTGTCTGAAAGGCTGAAATGTGAGAAATGAAGAGGAAAAACAAAGTTTTCAATATAGCGTGCAACAAAAGCACACCCTAATTTAAAAAAAGGCATGATCACACAGTGTAAATCAGGGTGGTAAATACATTTTGATGGAAGGGGGGCACTCCAAGGATTTGGTAAGTGGTCAAGGGCCACGCACTTCCATCATACTAATGGAGGAGGTGTGAGATCTGGGATGGAGCTTAGGGTAAAGGATTGGGATGCAGGAAGGGATGTGGGATTTGGGAGGGAGTTTTAGTAAAGGAGGGGGTTGTGACTTGGGGCAGAAGTGCAGGAGGGAGTACAGGGTCTGGGAAGGGTACAGGACCAGGGGTGCAGAGGGTTTGGGTTACATAGGTGAGGAGTGCAGGAGGGGGGCAGAGAATTGGGGAGAGGGAGGAGTTGTGGTGCTAGTGGCAGGCTCTGGCCTGGAGATGTTTACTTGGGTGGCTAACAGCCAGAAGTCCAGCTGGTTCCTCTGCCAGGATCCCTGCCTTCCATGCCCCTGCAGTGGCTGTGTATGGCTGAGTCTGGACACTGCTTGTCCAAAGTGGGAGGGGTACTTCATGCAGGCTCCCATGGACTGCAGTCTATGGCTTGGCAGGCCAGATGTGGTCCAGAGGCCATGTTTTGCCCTCCCCTGCTGTAGGTGAAGATTTTCTTATGCAATTGTCAAGTGTCTGAATTTGCCACTCTCTCTTTCCCAGTGTGCATTTTTCGTACAGAAGGGCAATATACAACTCTCACTTTACAACTGATAGCCAAGTAAGCATGTATTAAATAGGGAGCTGTAATAAATGGTTTCCAATTTAAAATTAATTACATGAAACTTTAATATGAATATATCGAAAAGATTGGATATTTGATCTTCAATGTTCATTTAATGAATGTTTATCCATATTATTTTATACATTCACTATCAGACATAAATAACTGAGTATGGCTCCACTCCGCCTCCCAAGTTTAAATAAGAGCAAAATAATGGAAAGAATGCTTGCCTGGGGGCCTAATTTTACTCACTTGCGCCACTGAGATGCCAAAGCTTTGCCACTGAAGTCATTAGAATTACATCATTGCAAACATTAGTGCGAGATCAGAATCAGACTCCAAGCACCACATTATTTGGTGCATTATGTTCTAACTAAGGTACGTGTAGACAGCAGAGGTATCCCAAAATAGCTACCCCATGTCTTTGAAACATGACTGTTATTTTGAAATATTTTTCAAAATAGCGGGCACACTATTCCAGCATAGCCCTCATTCCACAGGGGTTAAGGGATGTCTCGAAATAGCACGTAATTTCAAAATACAATCAAAATAAGATATGCAATTTGCATAGCACAAATTGTGTATCTTATTTTAAGTTTAGGGTGCTGTGTAGACACATCCTAAGTGTCATGCTGCTGGCATAGAGTGGCTCTAAATTCAGTTTAACCAGACAAGAGAAATCATCTCACTATAAGGATGGTCTTGCAGTGGCTGCTATACCATGTATTCCACTTGCTGCAGTCATCCTAAGGAAACAAAGTAGGTCAGGATGCCCTTTAATGCCATGCTGATCCTGGGTTGTTTTCAACCCCTTGGTGCTGGAGCAGCCATCAGGCTGTTCTAACACAAATGCAGGCAGAAAATGTAAATATGCACAACTGCTCCAGGAAGGAGACAGTGTAAAGGAGAGCTCTAAGTGTGCTGTGCACAGCTAACATAGGTCAGAGGATTGCTTTTTGGTTGAAAACCTGTTTCCAAAT